TATAACAAGCATGAGACACTGGAGTACAGTACTTACTGAAGCAGAGTTTGTAGTCTATATTAGCTGAAGCGGTTTATAAAATTTGGTAATCCTTTGGCCAGCTTTAGAATATCTTCTGTAAGCAGATAAATAGCTTTTCAGTTCAAAATTCCATAGAAAAAATATTGTTTTAATCTCCACCTGACCTTTTGAACAAAGTCATTTTCACAACGCATTGTACAAGACACACAAATTCAATAAATTTGCTAATGTGACAACTTAATCAGTCTATGTGCAATTTATCAATTTTGTTTGATACAAAGTCTATAATAGCAAACCACAAATACCATTTTGATCACTAGGCTGATCTGGCTTTTCCATTGTCTTTTCAACTCCTCTTACACTGGAATTCCAAGGGTTAATGACATAAGTTTAATAATTAGGGAGAGGGTTAGGGGAGCAGAGAGGGTGTTGATCAGGGGTGGGCAATTATTTTGGGCAGAGAGCCACTTATCAAGTTTTTAGAAGCTGTCGAGTGCCAGCTTAAAACTGGAAAATCTTGAAACTGGAAAAAAAAAAAACCCAAATCATATAAAAAATAAAATACCTACTATAACTTATTTTAATTTTATTTAAAAATATTTTTGTACTGATTTGTGTGTTTATGAAGTGTATTTAGAGGCTGCATAACTCAAAATACAATCCTGCTGTATATTGTGTGTGAACAGTAAAGGGGTGTGGGTGAGATGGGAGACAGAGGGCCAGGCTGCCAGCTCCATTGCATGTGGCTCTTGAGGACTACACGCGAGCCTCACAAAATGCAGCCAGGCAGATCCCACGCCCAGGCTCCGTGCTCCTGCCACCCCACCCTGGGTCCCTGCCAGTCCCAGGGCACCTGCACAGGCTCCATACCACTGCCATTTCCCCGCTTTCCCTCCCACAAGCTTGCCCGCCACTTCCCCCACCACCACCACTCCCCACACCACTCCCCACTGCCACAACCCCTGCCACTCCTGCCTGCTACAGCCCCCGCCACTCCCCACTGATACAGCCACAGACCTCACTGCTACCACAGCCATGCACCACAGCCCCCACTGCTCCCTGCTGCTGCTTCCATGGCCCCCCCACTGCAGCCCTCAGTGCTCCCCCCACTGCCACAGTTCTCACCACTCCCCACTGCCGTAGCCCCCACTGCTCCTTGCTACCATGGCCATGGTCCCTGTCGCCCCCTGTGTTGCTGCCATGGCCCCCACCACTCCCAATAGCCCCCAGTGCTCCCCACTCCCATGGCCGTGGCCCCCACTGCTCCCCACCCCACCCACTGCCATAGCCACAGCCCTTGCTGCTCCCCTGCCCACTGCTTCCCACTCTGGCTCCAGCCCGGACTGGCAAGCACCACGGGGCTCCCAGCTGCTGGGCAGTTCACAGCAGTTTCCTCCCCCTCCTTCCCTCCATCCAATCTTATCTTACTTTCCACTCAGATGGAGGGAGGCAGGGAAGAGCTCCAGGGTAGCATGGTCAGAAGTCGCAGAGGCTTCCTGTTGGAGGCTGGGGGTCAGAGGGTGGGGGACTGGGGTCAGGGTGGAGCCAGGCCAGCCTTGCTGCTCAGCTGCTGGGTCCTGCCAGAGGCTCCCCCTGGGTCCTACTGCAGCTGGCTGCCTTTCATCTTTGACAGGCAACCTAGGACAGATAAGAACTCATTTTCTAAAATGTTTAGGGGACCTGTGGGCCAGATAAAATGGCCTGGTGCGCCGGATGCAGCCTGTGGGCCATATTTTGCCTGCCCCAGTGCTGATAACCTTTGATTGTGTTCCAGTCAAATAGAAGTCTCCCTGGACAAAGACTTGGCTACTGTCCAGAAGAACCAGATTACCCAGATGGGATGATAAACAAGTAATGAATCACCTAGTGAAGACTTGAATCACTGGATGAGCTGATGACTGGAGGGAGGACACCTGACAAAGGAGTTTAAATTTTATTAAAGTTTCTGATAAGGAGGCAGACACAAAGACACTCCAGTATCTAATTTGTAAGAGAAAAAGGATCTTAGATAAACTAGAGCAGTAGTGGGCAATCCATGGAATGCATGCCACAACTGGCACAGGAAACCACTGCATTTGGCACAGTGCAGATTGGGGATGGGGTGGGAGTCAGAGAAGGAATGTAGCAGGGGGCAGTGGGGTTTGGCTTGAGGGTTTGGCCCTGCATGAGTTACAGGCATAGCAGCCACTGAATTGAGTGTTGCCAAGTCCCAGTGGCAATTGGATTCAGCAGCACTGGGTGGCAGGGGTGGCTGATTATTAGAGTGGCACAATCTAATACTTGGGACTTTACTTGTGGCATGCTTGCCAAAAAGGTTGGGTACCACTGCACTAGGGCATCTGGCCAAATCTCAAACAATAGTCAAAAATGAAGAAAAACTCAGGTTGAAAACAGTATGTAAGAACTTCCTTCTGTTGCCTAAACTTTGTATTTCTTATGCTGTCTAAAGTGAAGAGTGAGTGTTTAGAAATCCTTTTTAAAAAGCCTTTGTGGTTTTGCTCCCACCATTATATAAGCATAAAGAGGCAAACAGTACAGCCTGGCCACAAAGTTGAAATTCTAGGAAAGAG